AGCCAACGACCACTCCTTTAAAGTCTTACATACGTGTAATAAAGGGCGGCTGTGTGTGCTGGAACAGTTAGAGATATTAAAAAGTAATAATAGTACCATTACACTGCTGAATGATCAAAGAAATGTTACTAACTCACCTCTCTTAAATATCTTTAAGCCTGCTCTCTAATAATAGAGAGCCTCGCAATATGGTCGTTTGTCACCCTTACGGTGATCGGCGATTGGTTAGATGGTTGGAGGGTAGGCGGGCGTTGCGCGGCGGTTTTTTTTTTAATTTTACAAACGGCTGCGTGAGTCCGGCCGTGATTGGTCGCATGTTTTATAGCATGACGCAGTCGCTCACTCCTTAAGTAGAGAGCGGTTGCGTCAGCGGTCTGTATAAATAGCAGTTGTTTTGGCTTGCTGCTCACTTAGCGGTTAGCCAGCGTAGAGTCTATATCACCTGAGGATGCCTCGTGTAGAGGCGAAACACATGTCGTATTGTCGTCAGTGGTGTGTCTTGCCTAGTGTAGTAGTGTTGGGAGTAGCGGTACTGGGATTAGTGGTGATGGGGATAGTGCACGCAATTGAAGGAGGGCGGAAGGTGCTCTTCGTACTAGGTAAGACACATCATTTTTTATTATAACGCGGATATTTGCGAAGCAATTTTTTAAAAGCTTTTATATAATGGATTTCCGCAAAGTAACGCCTGATTCTATAAATTATAGTACAGTACGTATCACAATCTACAACAACGCGAATCAATATACAGTAATCTATGATGCGAACACAAACTATATAGAAACACTAGGTATGCGAATGATTGCCGGTTGCCGGGTTGTTGTTCGTAATTGAACTAAACGCTTAGCTTACTATGAAGCTACATAATTATTTTTGTGACATGAATCCAGTACAAAATAAATCAGTATAGTAGTTGATTTGATGCCTACATACGAATTGAATTTAATCACAATTAACAACTATTCAGAAAAACGTGAATAATTATAGTCTTTGAATACAAAGTTCTGTCATACGCGAAATGAATCGTCATTAAGTGCGTTGCAGTGCGTTCTGAAACCACTATTTTAAATAATTTCAGAAAAGTTACGAAAGCAAAACTAAAAGGATAACCTTTTTTGTGGCTACTTAGAGAGGAATGTTTTGTGTTTTTTAAGACCTTAAAAAATAAGGGAATTTTCCATAAATATGGCATATAGTGACGCCATCGTTACGTTGTCTGGTACGATTTGACCAACTTTCTTTAAAATCATGATGCCACTTTTTTGCGAGCTAATTGTTATTTTATCCTTACCGCCAAGTACGTGGCATAATATTTTTATTTTAAAGTAATCGACGCACTATTTTTAAGAAATTGTAATTTTTTATACATAGAGTCTAGATAAGATATAAAAATCTGAATTCGTCAATAAAAGGTAATTTTTTTTTAAATCAAAATTCGGCTTGCAGGTTTTGTATAAATTATCACGGTTGCAATTTCTTGTTATCTATTGAAATGCTACCAAGTTTGATGATGATATCATTCACACTACTACAATATAGCGCATCATTTATAACATTAAACCCATTAACTGAAAAAAAATTGTTTTTTAATATTTAAATGTATTATTTTTATATGTCGGAACTATCAAACGAAAACGAAATAATATTTGAAATATTAAATAATTTATATATAAATAATATTTTAGGTTATTTCCAAGTAAATAAGATGATTTTATGGGTTTTTGACTTAACCTCGTATTTGGTAAATATTTTTGGCGTTGGTAGCACTGAAGTTAATTCTGGCAATGGCAGCACCACTCTTTAGACGTCGCCACCATTTATCTATAGTTGCCACTACGGATGTAAAATTGGGTGAAAAAAATCGATGACTAAAAATCGATTTTGCTTTATGATATTAATCGATTTATCTAAATAATCGATTTAAAAATTTGAAAATATGCCTGTTTTCCCATATATTAATAAAACTACGAGATTAGTATAGTATTAACAATTTATCAGAATAAAAATCAAATAAAATGATAAGTATAAGAAATAATTAGAACGACAATCTTTTGGTTTCAAAACTAAACTACAAAAAAAATTTTTAAACTATAACTTTAAACAATAAAAAACTAAAAATAACTACTGCCACAAATGTTCAGTGCTATTTCACAATTTATTAGACCCAAAATAAAAAGAAACGATAAGTTTAGTAAACGAGAGTTTTTTCTAAATATGTTTGAACAAACAATAAAATCTTACATTGGACTAGAATGAAAATAAAATAAAATTATAATGTGCCGGACGGGCGAAACTCTCCGGAGTAAATGTTAATAAAGATACTCCGCTAGTCAATCACGACCTACACCTATAGGTTCCGGAGGATACTTCTACTGCCGTCTTTGTGGGTGATGCTGGGGTGCTGTGGCCTGAGATTTGAATTAAAATGCACGAACTATAAAATACAAATGGCAAGGCAGTGGCCAGTGGGTCGACAGATCAATTATTCGCGAAAATCTTCTGTCTATTGGTTATTGACCACGGTTGTTGAATATGGTTGTTCAACTACGATTGTTCACTATCAGTTACTATATTTTTCAAAATATTTCTGCAAATTATTTGGTAGTATCTAATATTTATTATTAGTAGCTGGTTTATTAACGCTGTATGACTAACTGCTATTATCAACTAAACTAGCTATTTATATCACTTGTGTAACTGCAAATATCAGTTACTATGTTGTACAACTAGCTATCACTTTCAAATATGTAACTGCAAATATCAGTAACTATGTTGCTAGCTACACTTCACTATGTTCTATATTCTGCTACTAGTCACTTCAGCTACTACTGGCTACTGGTTACTACTGCTTCTCACTGGTAGTTCTTCACATTACTGGTTGTCACTGGTAGTTCTTCATACTACAATATTTCTGAGTTCCCAGGCCCTAAGGTAGACTTGAGCGTTACTTTATAGTGAGCCGCTTGCTATGTCCGTTTTGCCTCTTTATTGCATAACATTTTCACTATACAATTGTCTTAAATTACAATTATTTCCTCACATGATCAATTTCTACATTAACGTACTATACATTATAAAATCGGCAATTTAGTCTGTTATTAGTATGTATATCATAAAGGTAACTCATTATATTAGCATTATAAAAAGTTATTAAACAAAATGTCACGAATTTTCATAATATTTAATTTTACTATAAATTGGGAATAAGTTTAATAATTCAAAAAATGTTTTCATTTTCTTAAGCTATAAACCTTATTCTAATTAAATGTCATATTTATAATTCTTTCAGAACATAAATATTATTCCCATCATTTTCGGGATCAACTATTACGCAGTTAATTAAAAACTTCTAGAAAGTTCTACAATACGTCGCGCTCTGAATGGTCGACTTTTCTTTGTATAGTATAATAAAAGTTATTTTCTTAACTGTCATCAAAATTATGTTCTATAAATGATGAACTATTAAGGTTAAAAATATGCTGTAAAATTATATTATTGCACTTTTCACTTAGTTTTGTCACCAATTTCACTTTTGATATTGTTTTTAATCACTTTGTTTCTTAGCGCTATTATGTCGTCGCGAACTTATAAGTTTAAATAATGAAACGACAACCTTTTGGTCTCAAAATTAAAATACAAAATAAATCTTTACTTTTTACTTTAAGTTTAAACAAAGAAAACTATAAATAATTATTGCCACTAATGTTCAGTATCATTTACATTGGACTAGAATGAAAATAAAATAAAAGTATAATTATAAATAATCAAATGACAACCTTTTGGTTTCAAAACTAACATACAAGACATATGTTTTTTTTTAACTTGTAAACAAAAAAAATATTGCTATGAATTTTCAGTTAATGAATTTAAGAACAATAATTTTACCAAAATTCTTATTTGTCTCTTTCCTAAAATACGGTTTCGTTTTTTCCTGACAATATTTCCCGGTTTAACTGGCCATCACAGAGATGTGTTTAAGAGCCAATGCGGTTAGTTTAGAGAAAGTTCCTTCAGATCCTCTATACATTAAGGGCATCTGCCTTGAGATTTGATAGTAGTGCCGCAATATAGAATTCTAATTCAGTATTTTTGCCTATTGACGTGTTGGCCCCTATTATTTTTTCACTATAAAATTATTCTGTCAGCCACTTTTAGGTGTTTTACAAGATATTTTTATTGTTTATCAATTATTTACATTCTCCAAAGAGGGAAAGAAAAGCACAGAATACTTCTACTCCTAGCGGAAAAAGAAAACTGTTGAAAATATACAAAAGGCGAAATTGTTTTACATAATATAATATAGAGATACATAAAGGTGGCGCCGTCTTTTGATCGACTTGTTAATTAATGTTAATAAACTTACTTCGCGTTTTTTCATCTGTTGTACAGACGACGCTGTTATTTTGATCGACTTAGGCCTGCCACATACATACGGAATTCTGTTTCGGGACTCCGTATCGGAATTCCGAACGGGTCGGCCACACACATACAGAATCCCGTTTTGCCCGCAAAATTTCGAACGGGAGACTACCCTAGGTGTGTGACAGGTCATAGATTTTATATGGAGTTGCTGCGTTCGAAATACCGAATCGGAATATCGAAACGGAATTCCGTATGTATGTGGCAGGCCTAATTCATGTTATTGAACTTATTTCACGTTTTTACATCCATCGCATAAATGACGCTCATTACAAAATCGACTAAACGCGTAATTTACATAATCAATTTATTAAAAATCGATTGTTATTATACAAAAAATCGACTTTTCAAAATCGATTATAAGAAAAAAATAATCTATTAATATGAAAATCGATTATTTTTTCACATCTCTAGTCGCCACTCTCCAGGTTTTACTTGTATTGTTGGATGTTGGTTACTTTTTGCCCTACTTGTTATTGTTCACAAATAATTTGACCCACTTATAAAATGAACAAATGTATCTAATTATAATTAGTTCTTTATTTGTTTATATAAAAAATTCATGCATAGCATGATTCAAAATGCCTGGAATACGAAAATATCGACGTGACACCACCGAAGTCAGCTGTTGTTTAAAATATGTGATATTTGGAGTCAATGTATTATTCTGGGTAAGTTTACGATTTCCTTACAAAACATTCCTTCATATCCTTACAAAATTATGAAAAAATTATATGGACCAATTAACAAAAACAATTATACCTATGTTGCTGTAATGAAAGGTTTGTATTAATTCAAGGTTGACTATTATAACACTTTAATTACACAATTTGCATATAATTGCAATATTTATATTATCTTGCATTCAGTATTATTACAATATGTTAAATTTTTAATGTATTATTCTTTGTTCGAACTTATTTACACATTATCAATTACATTTTGAAGCTGGGAAAAAAGGACTAAGTTTCTACATATTTGTTTCCTTTTGATGTTAATCAATTTTCAATTTGTGATGTGTTAAGCTGCTGATGCTGAGTTTTTTCAGTGAATATTGTCATTTAAGATTGCAATTTGTTAGTAGTACAGTAGTTTGTTAGTAGTAGTAGTAGAACGCAAGTTGTAGGTAAGATTAGTTGATAGGAGATCTTTCTGCCTAGGAGTCTATTTGGGTAGGTATGACCCTCTTACCTATTTCTACCACTAAGCACCAGTATGTGCACTGCTGTGCCCTGGTCTTTAAAGGTTATAGAGATCCAATATAATAAAAACCCAATAAGGTGCTTAGTATTAAAGTTGAAGTCAAATATTTTTATTGAAAAAGGGGTTTACAAAGAATTTTTTGAAAGTTAAATGCTCACCTCAATAATTCCCTACGACAGAAGATCTTGTTAGAAGGAGTGACAAGAACCTAGTAAGTAGACAATTCTCTCCCAATATTTACAATTCAACCATTTAAAATATCTGCTGTAAAAAGTTTAAATAAACCCATTATGTCTATGCATTCTTATCTTTGAAATAATCAACTAATGCTTTATGTTGTTTGAATTTATGCAAGAGCAAATCAGTAATAATAATATATAGTAATTTTAGTAGGTAATATAATTGCTTCTTTTTATCAATGTTCAGACATTTTAATAAATCATTTTAGCAACTAAGAATAGTTTTTGAAATATCTACAGTGGTGGTCATATATCTAATATCAAGTATAATTCTTACGTGAGGATAGAGATACTCTCCAAAATGTACCCTGTTAAAACCCCGAAAGGCTGGCTGCTTTGTGCCTGTGCTCATAACTGGTCAGATTGTTAACACATTCACTGTCAGGTTTTAGACTCAATAGTAAGACAATAGCAATGTACCATATGTGGCTCATGGGACAGGGAAGGGGTTAATACTACACTAAGAAAATATTAGATATAATCTGCACAGAAGAACCCTTCCACATTGGGTTTCGATACACAGTGTTCTACTTACAGTTAGTGGCAAAATTTCCTTTTGAAAAATGAAAATAATTATGTTGAAAATAATATTTTGAAGCACTTGTTAAAAATTGTTATATTAGTTTTATGGACAGCTGTCATAAATACCAAGCAATATTTTATGTATAATACATTAATTAGTACTCCTAACTGTTGTAGACTGTAAAAAGAGAGAAACTTGCTAAACACATTAAATTAAACCAATGAATTTTTGTTTTCAGTTTGTTGGTCTTATTATATTAGCTGTTGGTATTTGGGCATGGATGGAAAAAGACACATTCAGCAATCTCTCAAGATTGACTAATATAGCACTAGATCCAGTGTTTATACTGATATGTGTTGGTGAGTAAATTTTAAATATTTATTTTTATAATTGGGTATAAGACTGACAAGGTACCATTACAATTAACCATTACAGCCTATCAACATAGACCTCCATAGTTTTCACACTTGGTAGGTGGTTTGGTAACTGTATTTTTTTTAAGTTGTTATTAGAAAGATACTGCTGCCCATCTCCTGGTTTATTTTCCTTTGCCACCTCTTATGACACCCACATATCGATATGAGTAAGGGGATATTCTTATACTACCACCACATGGTTGTTGACAAAGTAAAATAAAATAAAGTTCTAAATGTGTACGATCAGGGTATACATGTTTTAATTTTTACTAATGAGTCTTCATTAGTTAAAAAAAGTTAAAATTAAATGAAATAAAATTTGTTTTATTCCATGTATAGTATTCACCTAAATATAAGAAATCATTATATGAAATAATGTTATGAAGAAGAAAAATAATAATATTATTTTGAATAAAAATCATTAAATATAATCTTTCTTTTACAGGAACAATTACCTTTATAATTGGTTTCACAGGCTGTGTTGGTGCCTTGCGTGAGAATACCTGCCTTTTGGCTTGCGTGAGTAACTTTTTGATAAATAAAGTGAAAATATTTTTACAAAAACAAATGTACACTTAATAATTTTTTCTGTCATTATTTGTTAATACATATCTTGTGCAATATTATAATTTATATACTGCCAGCCTTGTACTGGCAAATGCAATGTTGTGGATTAGTGAGTGTTCTGCTGTATTTTATACTACAAGTAAAACTTATTTACTATCTTATCAGCATAAATGAGATGATTGAAATATGGTGTTTTAGAAGAAAAAGAAGTCAAAATGATGGACATTATAATTTTATTAGAAAGGGAGATTACTCCATCATAAATTCTCCACTTCTCTATCATCGGTTTTTAATAATTTTTTAATTACTCAATTGTTATCATTAATAAAAAAGGGAAAGTCGCAATGTGATGCAAGTTTTTTTTTATAGGATAGGGTGACTAACGAGTACACAGTCCACCTGATGGTAAGTGGTTGCTGTGACCCATGGACATCTACATCTATCCTCAATAAAGAATCAAAATGCAGATGCGTTGTCACCCAAATTGACTAAAATGGAATGCCTCTTTTCCAGTAAAAAGGGTCTCCAGTTCTCTACACTCACCATACGAAACACAGCAGTGCTAAGCTGCTATTTTAAGCTGGTATTCATAAGAGTGTGGTACTTCCCCGGTCAAGCCGATCCATTCATGCTACATCTATACTAATAATATAGCTGCAGCATGGCTCTACCATGTAAAGTCAAGTCTATTTATTGACTTAGGTCTTAGTTAAGTCCCTAAAGTCTCAAGAACCGTTTGCTGCACCATTCAGTTGCCAGTTGTCAATATTGTATTGTTTTTTATAATTATTTATTCCTATCTTTTTCTATTTCAGTATGCAGTTTTTCTGGCGCTATTATTATTAGCAGAAATGACAACAGGAATTCTATTTTTCGTTTTCAAAGATTGGGTAATATATCACTTATAACATTATGTGTATTTGTCAAAAGTAAACTTGCTCACTGACTGAGTGTTGTTAATTTGCTTACATTTTTAGATTAAGCAGCAAGCTACAAGTGGTTTCCAGTCTTTTATAGCGCATTACAGAGAAGACCCTGATCAACAGAATCTAATTGATTGGATACAAGGAGAGTGGGTTAGTAAATTTTTATTTTAAAACTCAGTGTGATTCTGTGTCTATGTGTGCAGTTGATGTTTGAGTCTAGGCTTCTAATCAAAATAAAATGTTATGCAACATTCAGTGGCGCGGAAATTTTCGATTACCTACATTACTTTGAAAATTCATCTCTTGTTTTGCGTGAGAGAGCTTGTTGTCAACACACAACTTACTTCTTTTTTGAGTTATAGTTTTAATGTTTTCAAGGTTAAGATAGAATTAGATAGATTAGGTGTTCATCATTACAGCCCTTCATAAGTCAACTGCTGAACATAGGCCTCCCCCAAGGAATGCCACAAAGCACGGTCCCAAGTCACCTGCATTCATTGACTTCCTGCATGTCTTACCAGTTCGTCACTCCATCTAGTAGGGGGCCGCCCCACACTTCGCCTACCGGTACGAGACTGCTATTTGGGAACTTTTCTTGCCCATCGGTTATCGGTTCTTTAAGCTATTTGACCGGCTAATTGGCACTTCACCTTACTATTCTGTTGGGTTATGTTGGTTAATCTGTTTCAACTGCGTATATCCTCATTTATAAGTTTATCACGCAGAGAAACCCCGAGCATAGTCTTCTCCATAGCTTGCTGAGCGACCTTGAGAGTCCTCATATGGACTGAAATGAAGGATCACATCCATAAGTCATCACTGGCAACATGCACTGGTTGTAGAATCTTGTTTTCAAGCAGCACAGAAGCTCTAATATAAAACATTATTCATTATTCCCCAGCTACAATGTTGTGGTGTGGAAGGGCCTCGAGATTGGGATCGAAATGCTTACTTCAACTGTTCAAGTGGTGCAGTAGGTTCTCGTGAGGCCTGTGGAGTGCCTTTCAGCTGCTGTCGCAGCAAACCACAGGACATTATTATAAAGAATAAGCAGTGTGGATACGACGTTAGGAAGCCTACCTATGTAAGTATGACATTAAATTTGAATTAAAATAAAATATAAGTATGAAAAAAATGTTGCTTTTAAGAAAATGTTATCAATATTGTTTTAAAAAATATCTTGGGTACTGCTTCCGAACCTAAATTCTATAGTTAAAGGAACAACCTGTGTTGACGGCTCCGTGGCACAGTGGCTTAGCAATGAGTTGTTGCGCTGGGGGCCGCGGGTGCGAATCCCGTACGGAACAAGTATTTGTATGGGCTACAAATAATTGTTCTGGGTCTGGATGTTTGTCCTCGTGCAATTTACGTTTGTAAACTGCCTCCACGACACACTAGAAAATCATAGTGGGGGTAACATTTAAAAAAAACCTATGTTGATCACACCAGTGCTGGTATTAAGCAAAATTAGTAACTGCAGTATAATTATGGTTTTGCTCCATATTCAATGTCAAATCAAACTGTAAGAAATTAACAAATAATTAGAACAGTGTTTCTTAACCTATGGTCCGCGGACCTAGGGGGCCGTGACTATATGTATGGGGGTTTGCAGTCCTATCTCTAGATTATTTAACAATGATAAATAAATGCCACCAAAAGTCTCATAATCTCTATGCATACCCTCCGTGAAAGGCATTCTCTGCTCTTTTATGTACTAAAAATAAATAAAGAAAAAGATTACAAGTGGAATCCGATTAGTGAACACAACTTTATATTAACATCACCCCGAATTTTACTAATTTAGTTGCAAATAAGCAACACTAACCTTCACAATAAAAATCTTATGCTAACGCATTTCTAATAACGAAAACAAAATACGATTTTTGTAGTACTTAAACTAAAAGGTCCGAAATTTATTGCTGTTTTTTTTTATTATTGAATGGGGTCCTTGATAATTGCGCTTGATTTCCTAGGGGTCCGCGGCTAAAAAAGGTTAGGAAAAGCTGAATTAGAGGATAACATGAAGTTCTAATAAGGAAATTGATGGAGAGGGTGCAAATTTAGCAGTACTTATTTACAGTCAAGTGGACAGTGCTAACAGGCGACTTGGTAATAATTGGCTTCTGCACTTGCAAGTCTACAATTAACTTTAAAGAAAGAAAACCTCAAATGCACTGTCCTCTGAGGACTCAAGAGGAAAGACTATACTAGCCTATACTAGCTTCCCTTTCTTTTAAACAGGAAACAACAGTGGGTATACTGTTGATTAGCGGCAGGTATGGGCGAAACGGTTATAACGAGCCAGACAGATACTAGACAGGAAATAACCATCTAACACTACTTAATGAATGTGTTAAGGAGTTGTATTTATATTATGTATTAGTCTAAATGTAATTATTTATATAAACAATACCTTTAAAAATATTAAGTAAATAATTTATTTATGTGTGCTAAATTAGGCTAAATAATTACGTGCGCGAATATATGCGCGCATTTTGTGTTGACTGTGTCGGTGTCTATATCTTAATACTAACGGAATTAACAATGTAAGAATATCTAAGGATATCTTTCCAACCTGCCTGTCCAGTATGCGTAATGTGGGCAACTTTTTTTAAATATATTACTTGCTGCGTATATTACTTGCTGCGTACTTGCTGCGTATTTCTCAATAAGCCCAAGTTGAGTATTGAGTAATAAACTCAAAGAGGCTGACGACAACGACGATGAAATGTGAACGATGTGGGTGTAGCAAGTGAGCGAGCACGTGATTCACGAGAGGGGCTGCCTGGTGGCCGGCGAGGACTGGCTGCTGCGGCATTTCGCGTCCGTCTCCGTTGCATACGTCACGCCACTCGCTCTTAAGGTTTAAAGTTTGTGTGTGGTAGCGCGGCACCAAGCTAAGCAGAGATGGCGCCACCACTGCATGTGTGCTATTGACACTACACTATCTCTTTATGTAGTCTATATATTTTAAATGAGTTGGGTGATGTTTACGTATTTTATGTAAGTGATGTAATGGGAAATATGTTAGTTTTTCTTCAAATCCCAACCTCACATGCACATGTTGCAGTCTACTACTTGACCTTAGTCAATTGATGAGCTGTTGTGTGTTTTTAAGTGTTACTTTTTAAGAATTGTCTATAGAAATTGTATTGTTACTAGCTTATACCCACGGCTTCGCTCGTGTTTAATTAAAAGGTGACAAGCTTTTTATTATTGCGGCGTGAAAGAATAAACCTGTGGATGTCGTAGGAGGTGACAGGGGAAATGTATGAAACTTTCTCTCTTATTTAAAATTTCTGATTACAATTCAAAATAATAGAAAACTGCGGTTGCCAACTTGTCTGCCAATCAGGCCAACTATGGCAAATCCCCCCTAGTAGGCAATTTATGGGGGATGCCTATGTTTAGCAGTAGACTTTTGAAGGTTTTTAATGAATGAAAAGATAGGTACAGGACACTTCTGCAATACTACATTAAATCATGTGTTTCGTTCAGCGTAACAATGCAAATTTCAGGCCTTGTAAAACGTGAGCAAACTACATAGAGCTGACAATGACTATGGAAAAACATGCCATAACCAAATGTAATCCCACTATACTCAACGTCTGACCCTGGGATTTGTTGATTTTTAGGGTTCCGTACCTCAAAAGGAAAAAACGCAACCATTATAGAATCACTTTATTGTCCGTCTGTCTGTCTGTCTGTCAAGACCCTTTTTCTCAGGAACGCGTGGAGGTATCAAGCTGAAATTCATATGAAATACTCAAATCTACTGTCCCTTGGAGCTGTGAAAAATTCAAACTTCTAAGCCAACGCAATCAAAAGATACAGCCGTTTATGCCGCAAATTTTCGACATTCGCAAGGGAATCAAAACCTACAGGGTATTACCCGTGAACTTAGAATCTTAATTTTGAAAAAATTGAAATTTGATACGAAGCAACGTATCATAGCACAGATAAAGGAAAAATTGCGAAAAGCATAAATTTTTAGTTACATCATATAATAAAAATATTTTTAATAATTTTAAACTTATATATATACCTATGGATTTGTTCGGAACCCTCGGTGCGCGAGTCCGACTCGCACTTGGCCAGTTTTTCTTTGTAAATGCTACTTTGAATAGGAATTGTAACCATTTAAATTTAAACGGCAGGTAGTTTTGTATTATAGGAATGTGTGGTATGAGCATGGTCTCTCTTGGCTTTTTTTCTCCTTATCCAAATAGAAACCCAATTTAGATAGTGTAGGTAAATTCAGGTTCATTCATTCATTTCCGCCTATATAAGTTGGTTATAAATTGACACAGGTTGATTCTTTTGCGACGCCACTACACGCCCAACATTTAAGCGTGTCACACACTACCCAGATACGATAATATTTTATCTGCGTATAAAAACTTAATTATCTGAAAGTATCGCACACTCACACACTACGTAGATACGATAATATACGATATACATTAACTCGAAATCCTTCAAACTTACAAGACGTGTTTTTGGAGCGGATTGTTTGTACAGTGTAGTAAGCTTAAAAAGGACCGAGGCGAATTTAATCGCATTTTTTCAGCGACCATCCTGCATTTTAAAGGTAAAATCCTATGTCATATTTGTATCAGCAGATGTTATCTTAATGCTTACGATATGTCGTACCGATAAAATAAATTATTTGAGCTGTGTTTTAGTTCATTGAATTTCATAGATAGCGATATTGAAAGATATGCGCTCAGATACAGATATCTTACCGTATCTGCGTAGTGTGTGACACACTTTAGTTAAAATAATTTCACTAACATAAAATTTGTCGAATTTTAATTAAACGTGAGAAAAGTCGCGGATAGAAGATAGTTTAAGAATATAACATATTAAACTGTTAAATTTAAACATAAATATGACTATTTAAGTGTAGAGTATAGGAGTCACCTAACTCATTTTGATATTAAGACTAAATTAAAAGGCTATTTTTAAATAGTTAAAATGTACTTATATATATACACGCTATGGTGGCATCTGTAGGTAGAGCCGTTGCATATGACGACTTTTTAAGCGCGTTTACAGTGCTGCAATCAACAATGACCAACATTTGAGCAGTTTTAGCGAGTATGAATGAAAGTGTTGGAAGGGGTAGACCTAGGCGGACATTTCTATACCAAATCAGGGACGTCTTGAAAAAAGGCCAGATCAAGAGTACCCTAAACCGTAGAGCATGTATGAAGGGAATAATGAAAGTGGACGAAGCGAAACAAGTATGTAAGGATCGTAGCAAGTGGAAAAAAGTGGTCTCTGCCTACCCCTACGGGAAAGAGGCGTGATTATATGTATGTATGTATGTATGTATGTAGTATTTGTATCGCTGCAAATAATCGTTGGTTGAACGTGTGGTTGTTTGGGACAGCAGGTTGTATCGAAACGAATGCGTGTCAGATGCGGGTGTGTTGCGACCCGAGGGAAAGTATTGCGGTGGGACGCTAATTACAAAGCGAAGCGCAATGGTGCGGCAATTTTGAGGCCAAGGTGTTTCTGTATCAACGTTATGTCGCGTTTTTTGCAATACATACTGGCAACTGTATTTGTGTTTGTGTTTGTGGACATTTCATGTTAAGCCGACAACGAAATAAATATGAAATTCGTTCATATACGACTTAATTGCCCTTCTAAAAGGTAAGAATGTAAACACATTCACACCTTTTAAAAGTACACACCAAGTACAATTAGGTCGAATATGAACGAATATAATAATTTAATTCCTTTCACATGGAATATGGAGTAAAGGCTAAGGCTGTATCGCGTTCGTACCTTGGTATTCAAATGCTCTGAAGTGCTTTAATTGCGCGTGGAGAAGTCGTCATGTGCAAAGGTGCATAAATACAACTGTCTAAATGAGCCTTAGGTGTTTTCCTACTTGTGGCTTTGTAGTTTTTCGAAGTATTATTGTTTACAATTCGCATCGCATTTTTGTCGTTAGTAGATATATGTATTTGATAATGGCTATTGGGCCATTAATAAATGTTTTTTTTTTTATTATGAAAATACGAATTAGCCACGTGCCCACGAGCCGTCAAATTGACTGGCGTAGTGTATGGAAAAATATTTGTATGGCTTACAAATACTTATTCGGGGTCCGAATGAAATAAAAAATAATACTGGACAAAATAATGCCTTTTTAAATTGTGTGAAGCTTGTTGCGTTAAGCTCTCTGAAATCAGTATGGTGGTTTCACAGTATGGTGATTAGAAAATATTATGAACGTGTTAATTCATTTATTTCTTTTGTTTTGTTTTAGAGTTTTGACATTGCTAAAATAATATATGACAAAGGCTGTTTAGAAGCCGCCGAGGAGTGGTTTGACCGTAACCTGTTGATTGTAGCCACATCTGCTGTTTGTACCGCTTTTGCACAAGTAAGTTTGTTTCGTAGTTGCACAATAGTAAGTATGATATGGCAACACAGTTTCGTAGTGTTGTGATGCAGTACAATTTTATATGAGCTTTTAGAGTATTTTATATTTAGCTTGAGACTGTTTTTGTTTATGTAATTAGAACCAACATTGATAGTTAGTTATTGTAAACATTTGATGATGCAATAAAGTTTTTTTTTAACATTTCACTCACCCTTTCGTTTGTTAAAGTCGGTCAGCGCTACGGCTATTTTGGTCATAAATAGATAATGATGACAATGAGATTAGACTTGTTTTTTTTTAATTCACTATATATTCATTCTTAAATTGCTTATTAGGTTTTGTCAATTATATTATATTATAGTTTAGCTACTCAAAAATACATTTATATACGCATGATATCCAGCCCACGTTTAGTCCATATAAACATATTCCTCTGTTTTATCCACGCACAAAGGATATTAAAGCGAATATTTTTTAATAGAATGCTTTTTATTAAATAACTTCAATAAATAAACAGTATAAAATATTTTCCTCATAGTGTGTCCTCATAGTCTTCCTATTCGTCTGTAGTCGGGACTTAAATTTTTTGAGTACGTTGTCTAAACATGATCTTTAGAAATTATTAGTTTGTAGAAATTCTTTTGAATTTTTTAAAAATACGATTTTATACAATTTAAGAAAAGAAGAATCAATAAAATCGATTCATAAATAAAGAGGTTACGCCCGAATTTTTTTTTTAATACAATAAAGGTGACAAACGAGCACACAATCCGCCTGATGGTAATTGGTTGCTGTGACCCATAGACATTTGCATCTAACCTCGATTATGAATTTGACGAAAATGCAGATGCGTTGTCACCCGTGAGGGCTAAGATGGAATGCCTCGTTTACGCTGAAAATGGTATGTATGGTATATGTGTAATATATTATTTTTATAAAATAATAAACAAATTATACCGATCATTGACAATTTCTTATTTTTTGAAGTCGATTAAAAAATAATCATCAAAAACAATTCACAACCGACGAAATTTCGCATAATTTAATATTCTTACTTGCAAAAGAAACATACGTGAGTGTCGTGGAACACTCGGTTGGAACGAAGTTCGTTTTGTAGTATATTATTATTGATAAACGTATTATGTTATTGACTAGCTGTTCCCAGCGACTTCGCCCGCGCGTAATTTATTACGATTGGATTTCATGGGTTTTAATTTTTTGCGCGGAACCCTAATTCTTTTTTGAAATAAAAGTAGCCTAAGTTACTTCTTATAACATCAGCTATCTGCCAGTGAAAGTCCGGTCAAAATCTCGGTCCAGGCGTTTCGGAGCTTAGCCAGAACAAACAAACAGACAGACAGACTGACAAAAAGACAGACAGACAAAAATTTAAAAAATCGTCTTTTTGTTATAAGTACCGTATATACTTTCATATGCATATAGTAAAAAGCTGTTATTTCGCCATTACAAACAGACACTTCAATTTTATTTGTTTGTATAGATTAACAAATTCAAATAAATGAATTACTAGCGTCTATTAAAATGAAGCGTCATTTAAAATAAAATAATATTTCTTTCATGGCAAGATAAGAAAAAGTGCGAGGGAGATGGATATTATTCCGTTTCGCTTCCTTATAGCCGTCGAGGCCGTCTACACTACGTCAGAAGGGGTCGTGACGGAAAAATCTTACACTTTTTCTCGCCTAGCCCCCCATCCGGATAAGGAACTTCGTTCCAAAAAATTAGCTGAATTGTCAACCACCCCATTTGTTTGGAGACAGCTAAAAATTATTCCAGTTGTCCAGTTATACGGCCAATAAACAACATCCAGCAAGAAATTTACCAAACATAAAAAATAAAAGGAAAACACAAATGACATAGGCTCAATCATTCTCATATTCTTCCTGAAAAAAAAAATCGCTTTTGGAGGAGCTGTTTCCTCTTCGAAAACAAAATACTACTATAAACAAATATAGGCTTACAGGGTGATGATTTCGTCAATTTTTCAAAGATAAGACTTGTCAATGAACCTATATGGTTCCATCTGGAATAAAATTAACGTTATACGTGGTAGAGCCATGCTGCAGCTATATTAGTAGTATAGTTGTAGCACGAATGGGTCGGCTCGACCGGGGAAGGACAACGCTCTCACATAATACCAACGTAAAATAGCTGCTTGACACTGCTGTGTTTCGTATGGTGAGTGTAGAGAACCGAAGACCCATTTTACTGGAACAGAGGCATTTCATCTTAGTCCTCACGGGTGACGGCACATCTGCATTTTGATTCTTTATTGAGGATAAATGTAGATGTCTATGGGTCACAGCAACCACTTACCATGAGGTGGACTGATTGCTCGTTTGTCACCCTATCCTATAAAAAAAAAGAACCTATATGAACTACATTTAGGGATGTAGTTATCGGTTTGTCTACACTTTACTTTGAACTTTGGGGATATAGCATTTCAAGTTTTTAAGTATTCTTTCAACGTTTCATAGATCCTGGGGATTTGCTTCGCACAGAACCTCCGAGCCGACATATTTGCGCAGAAGTCAAAATGGCACTGACATTCAGCCTCTCCTGCTGCCGTGTGACGCGCGCCGCGACGCAACAGCGACCCCTACCGGCTACTTTACGCAGGACCCTTGTGAAGTATTCGATTATTGAGTGATAAAACAATTAAAACTTTCGTATCATCAATAACGAATAATAAATTTGTGATTAATTCATTGCATTGGAATAATTCGACAATTGAATGTGTAATTTAAAAAGTTACACATAAAATTAATACATTTTAGCTATTGCTCTGTTAACATTTTGCTAAAGAAATATTTAAAGGCATGTATACATTTATTGAGTAATTTAACGAAAATAATTGATACTGAGCACTTTTATATTCTTCGTTATTTCTATATATATTTTCTTTATGAATCAAGTACTACCTGACTTCATTAATATGATAATATTTGTGATATGAGAATTGATGTTCAAGTTCCTTTTATAAATTAATCGTTGTTTCTGTTGCTAGTGTGTGGAAGTCCTGATGTTTGCAAAAGCTTAACTTTCATTGCATGAAATAACTTCATCATGGTATAAGTTATGGGTGAAATGCTTAAGCGATATTAGATCAATATTGTTTTATACCTATTTATTTAATATGTGTAAAATATAATATTCTACTATCATATCATTTTAATCATGTGAAAGCTGTAGTGATTATAAAAATAACAAGGTCACATTATTGTTCCACACACCCCTATCGTGCAATAAGATTTACATACATTTTATTATATTTAAATCTCATATTTCAACATGCTTTCTCTTTGACTATGAACACTTATGACTTAAAAATTTTATCCAATCCTTCAATAAATTATTGGTGTTAATTAAAAGATTTAAGCATGTTATCAGTGGCTGTTAACATATCAAAATTCAACAATCTCGCCGTTATTTCGTCGTTTACTGAATAAATGAACTGCTTTTGTTACTCAAAATTGCTAAATGATACCAGCTCAATTCATCGTGTCGTCTCATGGGTGTCAAAAAGTGCAAGAAATGACAGAGAAATGGCGTCGTCTTCAAAAACGGAGCATATTACACGTCCAAAATTCTGTGATATATGACTGGCAGTAAATTCGAAATTAAATTTATTTTTAGCAGACTCCAAGAAAGAACGTTTATAATTCGATTGCATGTTTTTTTTAATATAATTATGTTAAGCATTTTCTTTAAATGGATTATCCTTTAAAGGTTCCATATAAATTGAAGAATAAATTCCACCCCTAAAGGTGGCTAAACAGTAGATGAAATTTTTAATGTAACTATTAAGAATCTTAAAGACATTGAGATTATATTTCTTCGTCCACTCATAATGGTAAGAAATTGAACCTTTAATAAACTGTAAAATGCAACTTCAAAAAACTATAAAGAATAAAAGAATTTCTCGTTCAGAAGTCAAGGCTATAATTATTCTATATATTTTCTTAGCACCGAATCTTTGTTACAGTTATAAACATTAATTATGGCAGTTATTATATTACCATTATTAGTGTATGTTATTTAAAAAGTAGTTTTAATTTTTTTTTTAAATACGATATGTAATGAGATTATACTTGCTTTTAGGTCGTTAAATTATGCACTCTTTACACATTGTGTACTGTTATTTTGTATTGTTAGTAACAGCAGTTCGTTTATCATAGCATAGTTGTTGAATTTTGATATAAACTCTGAAAACGTCAATATTCTAAAACATGTGTTCATCGCGTACCTTCCAAAAAAGCCTTAATGGGAGCTGTGAGATGATGTTAGTATTGAATAAAAGTATTATATAGCTATATTATATTATATAATATATTAAAGTTAATAAATTTCCTTTTGACGCCTATTGAATATCTGAAGCTGAAAAAAAACCGTATATGTTAGCAAATGACGTAAAATTTATAATTTAAATTAAATATCAGGTATTGGCTTTAAAGTTAAGTAAAATCATACTCAATATTTCATGTTGTTTCGATTTGCTTATTTATGTTAAATGCCCACGAACAAGCTTCATGAATTATTTATGACTACCCGCCCGTTTCTTTTTTGTATCCTCCAATTTAGTAGGGATTATCCGCGTTCAGTTTTTGTATTCAATTATTTTCATGCAAATTTTTATTGAACTTGATAGATGTTTCCAGTATATGTAGTATTTATCTATTAATCTGAGGAATAATGAGTAATGAGCTTTATTTATCAAGAATGCATCAGTCATCACAAAACAATTGCTATTATAATTTTTTGATCATCACAAATTTTTAAACGTATTTTAAGGGTCAAATGATTTTGAAAATTGCCTTTTATAAAGATAATTTTTACTTGGCAACATTTCAATTTAGAGCCAATGTATGGGTCGTTACAAAGTAGCAGGAGAATAATGGCTGACAATACTAGTTTTAATGACGTAATATCATAGTTTTTAATGTAATTAGTATTGTAAATTGTTACTAACACGTAGTGATTAAGGAATACTCATCTTTCGATTTTATTTAATTTGACTTTTTTATTTACAAATTGTATTTTATTTCCCATTTTGAACTAATTTCTTAAACGTCCATCGAATTTCCTCACATAATTTATATGTATATTTTTAAATATACTTAGCAATATTTAGTAATTGTAATTTGACACGTTGAAACTTATTTTTACCTTGTCTTATGTCAAGAATGGCTTAAATGATAAAACTTTAAGTACGCATATTAATCAGTCACTATATTATATCAAAAAATCATTAAGCTTGAATTATTTTTATTGTAATATATATGTGTGTGATATAAGGTATTAAAAAAAATAGTTTGTGATAAGGCAAACCCTTACAATACCGTCTTTTTTCCAGTATTTCTGTCTAGTTAATATTATCAATCAATTAAAAAATTAATGCTGTAGAAATGAGGTCTTTAAGAAGTATTTTATGAGTGGCTCCGAATGATTGTGTGATAAGTGTAGTGTGGTTTGAAAGATGTGGCCAGGATTAAGAATGGAATACTTTGGCGGTTTGAACACGTAGAAAGAATGAATGAGAAAGACTGAGACAGCACATTTATGCTATAAGAGTGAGTGGCAGAGTCGGCAAGGGTCGCCCTAGATGGAAGTTTATGGACTAAACTGGCGATTTATTGAAGATGAGCAAAATTAAGGGCACCTATAACCGACGAGTATTTATGCGTAGATACATAGATGTGAAATAGCCTACGGTGATGCACGTGAGAGTTTATGGATGCATATTAATTGATTGATCAATCAATCAATATATTCTTTAGTGTACATCAATACATATGACAACAAAAGCATAAGGACATATATAAAGAAGCTACAATAGGCGGTCTTAACGCTCTGGAAGCGCTTTTTGTTCAGACAATCTTATTACGAAAATAACTGTTGAAAGACTGACCTCCCTTCTTTGCCATTCCTTGCGGTACAGCATTTATAAAGTAAATAAACAAAAATAATATGATTTATTGCAATTATGTTAACTTCCCTAATACCATTTACTAATTTATCTATTTAAGGAATAGTAATATCAATTTATGATGTATTTTATTTTAGTAATGTAATTTAAACTTAATACTTGCGTAATGTTTATTAACTTCAAATATCTCAGTTTCTATTATTTACATGCAATAAATATTCTCAACTTCTACCTGTTAGTTAAACTGTTACTATCCCACCTGTTAATTAAAAAGTCAATTGGACCAGTATTATGATCCATTTAAAAAAATCCTGAAATTAATAATATAATTAGCAGTAATGATATTTTGTTTCAGCTGTAGTACTATGCATAACCATGTACATTCTTTCTCATTTAAAATAATCTCATGAATTTTAATCTGATGTTTTGATCTCCTTTAAGAAGATTTTGTATTAATTATAAGCACTGCCCCTTTATTTCAATGTATCCACTGCATTATGATGGCATATGTGTATAATGTAACGTACGATTTAATATTCCTAGGCTAGTATAGGGCAATCGTCCTATTTCATGCTTGTGTGGGTGCCACTGAAAATAAGCTTTATGCCATTTACATATAAGGTATTATTTACAGTCGACATTCGTGAATCCTACAGAATGAGAGATCCTTAGCACAAGTTTTGTAAGTACATATTTGTGCTGATATTATAATGGTTTTTGTATTATCGACATTAGCTATGTAATCTAAGTAATAAAAATATTATCTATTTAAAATTATGTTAAGACGGAAATATCAGAGATTATGATTTATGATATTTAATTAAAATTTGTCTGTTGTTTGTAGACTTAATATAGAATTTTATATAATTTCCAATAAGCTTAAAATTGATATTTTTACGTAAATATAAAAGTTAAGGTAATATGTTATGTTTTTTTATTTTACACAATCTTTCATTGGATTTTTTTTTATTAAATCATCATCATCATCATTACAGCCTTTCATAAGTCCACTGCTGAACATAGGCCTCCCCCAAGGAATGCCACAAAGCACGGTCCTGAGCCACCTGCATCCATCGCCTTGCTGCATGTCTTGTGGGGGGGTCGCCCTACACTTCGTCTACCGGTACGAGGCTGCCACTCAAGAACCTTTCTTCCCCATCGGTTGTCGGTTCTTCGAGCTATATGGCCGGCCCACTGCCACTTCAGCTTACTAATCCGTTGGGTTATTTCGGTCACTCTGGTTCTACTGCGGATATACTCATTTCTAAGTTTATCACGCAGAGAAACCCCGAGCATAGCCCTCTCCACAGCTCGCTGAGCGACCTTGAGCTACCTCATACGGCCAGCAGTGAAGGACCACGTCTCAGATCCGTAAGTAATCACTGGCAACACGCACGGGTTGTACAATTTCGTTTTAAGGTTTTGAGGTATGTCTGACGAGAAGATGTGTCGTAGTTTCCCGAACGCTGCCCAGCCGAGTTGAATCCGTCGATTGACCTCTCGGTCGAAGTTGGACTTACCTAGTCGGACTATTTGTCCCAGGTAAACATACTCGTCAACAACTTCGAGCTTAGTGCTCCTAACAACTACCGGCATAGGTGTGACATGGACATTAAACAT